TGATAATGGTGTGTGGGCGTGAGGAAGTTGAAATGGTGTGTGGGCCGTGGAGAGAGTTGGGAAATGATGTGTGGAGCGTGGAAGGAAGTTGGAAATGGTGTGTGGGCGTGAGGAAGTTTGAATATGTGTGTGGGCCGTGAGGAGTTGGAAATGGTGTGTGGGCGTGAGGAAGTTGGAGAATGGTGTGTGGCGTGAGAGGAAGTTTGGGAATGGTGAGTGATGGGCGTGAGGAGTTGGATAATGTGTGTGTGGGCGTGGAGGAAGTTGGAAATGGTGGTGTGGGTATCGTGAAGGTAAGTTGGAAATGGTGTGTGGGCGTGAGGAGTTGGAAATGGTGTGTGGGCGTGAAGTAAGTTGGAAAATGGTGTGTGGCGTGAGGAAGTTGGAAATGATGTGTGGGCGTGAGGAAGTTGAAATGGTGTGGTGGGCGTAAGAGGAAGTTGGAAATGGTGTGTGGGCGTTGAGGAAGTTGGATAATGGTGTGTGGGGCGTGAGGAAGTTGGAAATGGTGTGTGGGCGTGAGGAAGTTGGAAATGGTGTGTGGGCGTGAGGAAGTTGGAATGTGTGTTCGTGAGGAAGTTGGAAATGGTGTGTGGGCGTGAGGAAGTTGGAAATGGTGTGTGGGCGTGAGGAAGTTGGAAATGGTGTGTGGGCGTGAGGAAGTTGGAAATCTCCGAGAGTTTTAAAGCTGTGGTAGAAGTAAGATGAGTTTCCTGTGTTGAGTGTTTATTTTTGGTGCTTCCTCAGTTCAGTAGTCGCCGGACGAATCGAAAGGTCTGTGCAAAGTTAATGAATTCGTGATATGCGGATACAAAGCTGAGTGATAGGTAAACAAAAACTGAGAGTATTCTCAAGAAAAGATTTTTAAAAAATCCGAACTAAGTTTTTTTTTTTTTTTTTTTTTGTAATGATCATATCAGGTCGAAATAATGATTCTTTCATTTTTTGTTATTATTAGTTTCGTGAAAAGAATGTGCATTTCATTTATTTCGCCAGATAAGATATACCAAAAACGAATAATAGAACATGCAGACAATAAAAGAAATACCTGATTTTTATGATAGCTGCCTGTCATTAGTCTGGAGAAAATGAAAATGATGAAAAAGATATAATTAAAAGAATCGAAAATCTATTTTCTATTCATTTTCTATTTCGATTTCAACATGTTACCACCTGCTACATCAATCATCTTCATCTCTGATATGTTTAGATTAATTCTGCAGGTGGTGATGGTTTAGATATATTTAGATTTAGTTTGCCCTGAAACCTGATGGCGAGTGATGGATGACAGAGGAAGGCGGAAATTCACGTGATGAGCGGCTCGACCAAGTTTGGAAAAAATTAGAAGTGTCGCATGACAACTTTATTAACTTGATTAGGGAGTGCAGCTTCTTAGATTATTTCGAGAGATTTTTTCTCTGGCTCGGGGAATCTGAAGTATTTCCTTGAAGTCTTCGGTATTTTGAAGATTTTGGACGAGCTTAGGGATGATCCTCGGGAAGGTGTTTTTTACGGGGCGGAGTGAAGAGGTGATGTTGACGACGTATGTTTGGTGGCGTGGAGAAGAGGGCAAGGGGTGGGGGGGGCATAGAATTCAGTTCCACCGTATCCACCTCCAGATCTAGATCCACCTCCTCCTCCAGTTGCCATCAGCCTCCAATATTAGCCACCGCCAACCGTCGCCACCACAGGTCTTCATCTTACACCTCACCTTTGAAGTCCTCCTCCGACATCCCCCTTTGCTCTCGCTCCTTAGAAGAGTAATTACATTCCCGCCTTTTTCCGGTCGGTCTGTGACGCCATCATGCCGGCCTTTGATCCAACCTTTCATCTCCAGATTGCTGTGACCTCCCGCCCCTGCCTCACCCCTCCCCTCTCGCCTCTCTCCTTTCTCCCCCTGCTGCCGACCTCTGCCGCCTCTCCCCTCTATCCCCCTGCCTCTACCCCGTCTCATACCCCCTTCCCTTCTGCCGGTCCCTGCTTACCTTCCCCTCTCTCTCCTTGCTGCCTGCCCCCTGCCCCCTACCTGCCTCCTTCTTGCCTCTCTGTCCCCGAGGTATATCGACATCCGTGGCGCCCCGGGGGGGATTTTGACGGCCGCGATGAAGATGGTCCAGGAAGTTTTGGGTTTATTATAGGGCTGGGACAAGAGCTCGGCCAGGAGACGCCGGCTAGTGAAGCTCTCGACCAGGTTTGACTCGCTCGGTTTGCCCCCTTGATACGGCGGTGTTTGGCGGGGGGTGAGCGCATGCCCTTCGGAAGCTGTGTCTGATATCTCGCTGAATCAGAGTTATGTGGACCCGGGTGTATTTTTGAAGAAGAGTAAACATATCTATTAGAAATATTTGGAAAGAAATGGTATTCGTCTGCTAAAAATTATGTTTCCTTTTATTTTAATTTTCAGGCTTTAAACAGTGTGCGATGTGAATTTTTGATTCGTAAAACTTCATGCTTTCCTATATATAGGATATGTAAAGAGAAAAGATCAATATAAATCTTTCTTCTGGCTGTGCAATTTTTGAAATTCAGAACTCTTGAAAATGAATCCTTTATTTTGGCTGTCTAGGTCAAGGTCACGACCTTGCTCAAGACCTTCTTCTCGACCAACTTCACCAAATCCACTTCCTTTCCTCCCGCCGGTGAGTGACCTCGACCACGCTGGATGAATGACCTTTCGCGACCTACTTTTCATTCATTCCACCTCTCCCGCCACGAGTAAATAACGTCTCGACACGCTCCTTTCATTTCACTCACAAAACCACACGTGTCATCGTCATGTTGGTTATGTCTGTTGTCACGTGTCCTCTTTCGATTTACAGACCCGCAGGAATATGCGTTTTGTGTGGGGTGTCCTCTTCAGTTATCCCTTGCATGTCAGCCTTTGATTTATTAATTTTTTTCCCATCTGGATTCTCAATCTTCCAACGAAATAAACTGCTTCTCCAGCTGACTCCGCAGTCATGTCAGCGGAGGAATGATTTCCATTGTAGTGTGCTAAACTTCGGGCCAAAAAATCGGGATCCCATTCCTAGTTCAAGGAGATTAGGGAGATGTGAGAAAAGGTCGGAATGTGAGGAAAGGTGAAGATACTAATGCATGTCAAGGAGAACCGCAAAAGGTCAGGTGATAAGAACATTCCAGAAAGCACGTATAGGTCAAGATAGATGTATAAGGTCAGGAGTATGAGGCATAGTATATTCTGTCTTCTGGGGGTCTTCCAGACATCTGCATGCTGGAGTACATAGGAGTAATATGATGTTGAGGAAGTTAGGTGATCGATGCAACGTGCAAAACACAGATGCAGGTGAAAATTATGTAGATGATTTTATAACGGGTAAAGCTCTATATTCTTAGAAAGCATGGCACGATATACAAAAGGGAAATGCAAACCCGAAAAAAGGAAACGGAGCACAGAGGAGGGCCGTGAGTTAGCAAGGAGGAGAAGCGGACACGGGTGACAGGGACACAAGAGGATAGAGGTGAGAGCAGCTAGAATAGACACGGGCACTGGGACACTAAGGCCTGTGTGGTCCAGGTAATTAGGGGAGCAGGATGTGAGGGGAAGGAGAGAGGAAGGGGAGAGGGGCAGGAAGGAGGGACCAGGGACTTGACGTAGGTCTTCATTAACGTTACTGTTTACTCTCCCTCTCTCCGTGAATTATTCAGGAAGGTCTCCCTCTCTCTCTCGCTCGTTCTCACTTACTCTCGTGCCTGTCCCCACGCCCGGTTAGTCGTCAGTTACTTCTGGTTCGATGTTCGTTTCCCTTATCCTTGCATCGCCGTCTGGACCAAGCGCCTTCCACTCGGCCCTTCCTAAGCCACCTCTGGCTTAGTGCCATGCTGTTTCCTCAACGCTTGGCTTGCGCTACTTCTCCAAAGATGCTTAAAAGGTAGAAGAAAACCAGTGCCACCTCATTATCCCTATTTTGAGTCTCGCTTCATTTTTTCCCGTTTCCATTTTCCCTTCCTCTTTCCACGATGAACAATCTTACCTTTTTTTTTGACTATACTCTATTCTCTTCTTCATTCCTTTCTCTTAATCGCATATTCCCGCGCCCGCCCCCCCCCCCCCCCCCTGCTCCCTTCCCACAGCCCAATCCCAATACCCCGGTCACTAACCTCGATCGGCCCCGGGAGAGAGAGTCAACAAGGCCGTCCATCCACAACGGAGGCTATGCGGTTCATTCCAGAAATAGACTCCGCTCCCATTCATTAGATGCGTAGTGTTGACGCATTGCGATTACGTCCCCGTGCAGGCATATGTCCTCTTGGGTTTTTGTTTTGGTGGTTATCTAGGGTGGTTTTAGGTGTGGGATGGTGTTTGGCACGCTTTTGAGGCACGCTAAACGCTTTTAGGAGTACGAGGTTTGTTTTGATACGTTTGTACTAACTATTGGAAGGCCCTGATACTCCTGCCATATCCTTATGCTTGGTGTCTGTGTGGAACAATGTCTCAAAAGGCTGCTTGAACTTAGCCTACAGTGTTATAAAATTTCAAGTGTTGTTGTTTCTTATGTTCACTGATTTTACCTTCTCTTTTCTCGTTACTCTCCTCTCTCTCTCTCTCCTCCTCTCTCTTCTTCTCTCTCTCTCCTCTCTCTCTCTCTCTCTCTCTCTCTCTCTCTCTCTCTCTCTCTCTCTCTCTCTCTCTTCCCTCTCCTCTCCCTCCCCCTCCCCCTCCCTCTCTCTCTCTTCTCTCCCTCCCCTCTCCCCTCTCCTCCTCTCCCTCTCCCTCTCCCTTCTCCTCCCCCCTCCCCTCCCCTCTCTCTCTCTCTCTCTCTCTCCTCTCTCTCTCTCTTCTCTTCTCTCTCTTCTCTCTCTCTCTCTCTCTCCTTCTCTCTCTTTCTCTCTTCTCTCTCTCCCTCCTCTCTCCCCTTCTCTTCTCCTCCCCCACCTTCCATCCTCTCCTCCTTTCCTCCCTCGCAGCATGTCCTCACAGACCGACCAGACGCCCCGTGAGAAGCCATACCCTCACCCCGTGCCTTTCTCTCCCTTTACAGTCACCCTCCTTCAAGTTCTCCCGGAAGGCGTCCTCGTCCTATTCGCTCAAGCTCGAGCCGGTGAGGGCGGGCGGCGGGAAGAACAAAGGCCGAAGAAAGCCGGTGTCGACGCCAGCATCCCCCAGTCGCGCACGGGAACCCCAGTGCACGTGTATGACGGCCGAACAGTACGCCAGACTACGTGCTCAGGACCCCAGGTTCAGAGGTAGGGGAGGCGCCGTTCTCATCACAACAGCGACTTTCACTTTTTTTTTAATTATTGGGAATGACTGAGCACTAAAATATCCAAGTGCGCAGTAAGACGATGTCTAATCAAAAGTTTAAGAAACATGTAGAGATGATAACAAAAAAAAAACTCAGATAAATAATCTGCACTGTTGGTCTAGAACAACGTTGTATATTTTGATCAAAATTGAATATCAGAAGTAGCTTTTGGTATTCAGAATATTGAAACTTTTGTCATTAGTGAGAAAACAAGTTTCCAGCAATAATAATCGTTTCCAAACAGAGGAATATTTTATATTATTAGGTATAATTCTCGCTGTCCTGCACAATAATTGAGTGATTAGATTTGAACAAGTATATATATTTACTTTTCAATGACACAATACAGAATTCATTATCATTCAGTTCATAGTCAGGGAAAATAGAGTACAGATGTCAACAATTACATAGGTAAGGGTAGAACACGATATTTGATTTACACCACTCATCCATAGATATAAAATCATTCAGTTGTTACTACCTTTTATGCAGCAAGTTGAGATTCGAGCCCGAAAGAACACATATATATTTTTTCATATGGCATCTTTTTTGCAAAGTAAATGCTGATTTTTTCCCCAGCAGCACGCCTTTGTCCTGACGAAGACTTACTCTCCAACTCAACACATTTTTCCAGCACAGTGTATTTTTCCCCGATACTTTATGCCGGCCAGCAAATCTAAATTATAGTACAGCATAAAAAAGTGAATAGAGAAAAGATATAAACATGATTTGTAAAAAAAAAGTAAAATGCTCTCTATGCACTGCCGAGAAATTGTATATTAATGTCATTTTATCCCCCCTTTCTAATCCTCGTGTCATGTCCATGTTTACTATTGGCTATAAATGACCATGTCAAGTTGCCGTGATAGACTCAGTCCCAATTCGTGTCATCCACCCGGAGACGAAGCCATTCACACCCAATGGTAGAGCTCGTCTGGCATGCGGTGGACACTGTGTAGTAGATAGATGAATAACGCCAGCCGAAGCGAGCTGGCGTTTATTTTTTCTCTCTCTGTCTCTTTTTTCTGTCTCTGGCTCACTGACCCCTTCGTGATGCGAAGTCCAATAAGATCTAAAGATCACTGTTCATATATATATATAGGTTATTTTTTGGCTGCATAAAGATATTATTTCTCACTTCTGGACAGTGAGTAACACTGAATAGTTCCCCCTATAACACTTATCGTCTGTTCTTACCCTTTGGGTTTCTCCTAACACAATCTGCTTTCAATCTTTCTGAACTGATATGTATTTGTAGTCGCAAAACAGCAAAAATAAATAAGTTATATATGTTCTGACCATTAGTCAAAACAGAAGATACAGATTAGATCATTAACACTGAACTGTACCTGATATTATTAAAAAAGAAAATACTGACAATAACAATGTTTAAGTTACATCAGGAAGGAATTAGTCCCAGTCAATCAGCTGAGTAGTTTTACTCACACATTAGCGTCTAGAAATATAAGCAATAGTTTTAATGTTATTACAAATAAAGATATCAGCTGTGATATATGATATTCAACTTGATATCGAACATTTTCATTTTGATTTTCGGTATCTTTCTCGCTACATATTGATAAACAAGAGTTTTAACAACAGAACCTGTGATTGTGGATCGCAAACCAAAGTTTATTCACAGAGCAGCTTGCTCTGTTCGTGAGAATACATATATAATATATAATATATATATATATATATATAATATATATATATATATATATATATCTATATTATATAGACACGCACGCACAGCGCACACGCACACGCACCACAGCACCACGCACCGGCACACCACCACAACACACACACACAACACCACCACACACATCCACTACGCGGCCCGCCGCGCGAGCCGCGCGCGCACATTACACATAGCCACAACGCACAATTACACTCTACCACCACACATACAACCCTACACACGCCACATTACACCTATTACACCTACACTAACCTACGCCATACCACATACATATTACATTATAACATATACATGTACAAGTATGCGAGCAAATCAACTGATCTCTATCATAAACTTACATAGTTACTGAGCCCAACACATATAATCTCATGCCAGTCTGCACACACCCCGTACACAATCTGCATCGCCAACATACTGAGACATTGACATTAAGTCCACTCCATTACTCTCTAAATGACGGCGCTCATCCTTCCAGCACGTGGCCTCCGACCACATTTCGCTCCAATCTTGCTCACTTTCACGTCACGCGCCATTATCATTCGAATACAAATTATTCATACAACGATACATCACCTAGTATGTGTTTGCACGACGGTGCATTCAGTCTATAAGAACTCATACAGATAGTCCGCAATATACCAAAATTCCCCAATCTTGCCTACTATGTGACTGCGCGGGCGGCGCGGCCTTCAATCTATGACCCAAGAATTACCGACGACTCCAGTTCACAACTTTCCTCTCTCTATCCTTCACTCATCCTCCCTCTTTGGTATTCTTTCGTGCTTTGCGCTTCCCATCATCTCTTATCTTAGAACTCCCTCTTTTCCCGTACTCTATCGAGCCATTCCTCCCTACTCCTCTCCTTTGACCTCCTCTGTCCCCTACTCTCTAATTCATTACCTGTACATACCTACTAATAGCTCAACCATTCTCGTCACCTCCTCATATTACAGTCACTTCACTCATCTCCATCATTCCCCTTCTCACTAAAGAAAGTTGTCGAGCACCAATTTCATCACTCTCCTCCACGCCTTGCCCCCTGTTCTTGCTCAGCTGCTTCATAACTCATCTTCACTCTGCTACTGAGCATCCCATCAACTATGTGTCGCTGCCCTGTGGATCCTCTCTCCTTATCTCTTCTCCTGCTTTCGTACCCCTTTGCCCCTCATCTCTTCTCTCTTCTCTCTTTCTCCTTCCCTCTCCTCCTCATCATTAATCTCTCTCCCTTCCTCTCTTCTCCTCATCCTTCGTCGTTCTCTACTCTCTCTCTCTCTTCTCTCTCTCTCTCTCTCTTACTCTCTCTACTCTCTTCTCTCTCTCTCTCTCTCTCCCTATACTCCCTCCCTCAATCTCTTCTCTTATTTCCCCTTCCCTCTCTCCCTTCCCCCTATTCCCTACTCTCCCTTAATTCCCCAATTACTATATTAACATATATATGTCTTCTCTCCCTATAATATCGCCCGATCTATATACGCCTATTTATCTATGTGTATTTGTGTCTCCCTTACTCCCCTCTTACTACTCACTATAATATGTTCTCTCCTGTTATTGTCTCGCCGTAAATACTCAGGATACTATATATATTATTAATTATACCCTCTATCTCCCATTATAATTATATCTACCTATACTACCTTACTATAGAATATACAATTATATATATAAGTTATTGACACGCTGCCCCTAGCCTGCCCACCCGCTCCCCTCTCGCTACATCACCCCGCTTCCTTCCCCATCCCCTACACGCTAACACACCCCTCCCTTCCCCTCCCTTTCCCCACTCCACTATCCCGCACCCACTGCACACTGTCCACACGCACCCCACACACGGCACCAACACGCATCTCCATACTATATCCCTCGCTGTCGCATCCTTGATCCCTCCCATATCCACTGCCCTTCACCCTCCCTTCCCTCGCCTTCCCCCTCCTTCCATCCCTCCCGATTAACCTCCTCCCTCTCTTCTCTCTCTCTCTCTCTCCTCTCAATCTCTCTCTCTCTACATCTCTCTCTCTTCTCTCTACTCCCCTTCTCTCTCCTCTCTTCTCTCTCTCTCTCACCAACTCTCCCCTCCCTCTCACCTCTCTCTCACTCTCCTTCACCCTTTCCCATCTCCTCATCCCTCTCTCTCTATCCCTCTTACCCCTTTCTCCCCTACCGCTCTTCTCTCTCCCATTCCCTTACTCAATTTACGCTCCTCCCTCCTCTACCTCTTCCTCTCGCCTAATCCCCATCCACTTCCCTCACTACCCTCCCTCTCTCTCCCTTTCCTCCTCCCCTCCCTCCCTCCTCTCTCCTCCTTTCCCACCTCCCGCCCCGCCCCCCCCCTCTCTCACCCTACTTCCCACTCCTCCCTCTCTACTCATCTCCCTGTTCCCTTCCCCCCTCGCACCTCATCTCTTCGTCTCCCACCTTCCTTTCCCTCTTCCTCCCTTCATCGTCTTCTCTCCCTTTCCCGCTTCCCTCCTCTATCATCTCTCTTCTTACCCGCTTGTATTCGCTCCCCTCCCTCCGACCTTGCTCCTCCCTCTGCCTCTCTCTCCCGTCACCTTCCTACCATCTCACTCTCCCTCACCATCACCTCTATTACTTCTTTAATATACCTCTCTCTCCTCCTCCTCCCTGCTCTCTCTTCTCTCACACTGATTACTCACTAGCTATCTATTTTCTCCAAGGAACTCTCTCTCTCTCTCTCTCTCTACTCTCTCTCTCATCGTCTCTCATGCTCCATTCTCTCCCTCAGTTTCTTCTTGCGTCCGCACTTCCCCTCCCTCCCCTATCTCATAACATTCTGGATCTTGGACTTACCCTTCCATCCTTTTCTATCCATCCCTCTCTTTGTGGATCGCATTTACTCCAGAATACCCATAGTAGAATTTGAATCTTCCAGTCTCTATACTAGCAAATCTTTCATTTATTATGTGCTTGATCAGTTATTTGCCACAGACTTTCTCTCTCTCAAGTGATTCATTGAATTTCTCTACTATGTACATGTTCTTGATTTCTAACCCAAACCGAGTAGACTTTAGTTTATCTGACATGCTGTTCCGAATAACAGTAATCTAACATTGATTACACTAAATTCATATCGCATTCGAATAGTCTTATAAATCCGTAACTATACTTTTGATTTATATCTTCGTATCGTGCTCTCTCATCTCCATTCTCGTCTCTTTCTGTCTTACTCTCTCTCTTTCATTCTATTCCATCTTCCCTCTTCTCTCCTTCCTCCTCCT